CATAGGCATCCAATATCTAACTGAAAACAATTTATAAACACTGATGCTAATAGGTTAACTTGTAGGCTATTTATTAGACATATATATTTTTAAACATATGTTTACTTACCTTTTTCTTATAACTAGCTTAGAATTTATATGCCACATCACCTTATACATACCCTCTATTTAAAACTCACCAACTTTGTAAGTGCATATGAAAATGTTGATGTCAGCGGGTATGGTGGTATACTCCTATTGTCTCAGCTTCTCAGGAGGCTGAGGCAGGAGGATCATTTGAACCTAAGAGTTCAAGTCTGGGTAACACAGCAAAACTCTGTCTCAAAAAATAATAATTGTTGATGTCTTGCTGATTGCTTTTTTAATTGGAGCATGTCATCCTTTTCAGAGCTTTTCATTATTTATGTAATGAATTAGGTTTTTTTGCTATAAAAATAGGCAATTTGATTAAACAATGAGAAGCCCTAAAAGAAATGCTAATGAAACATTAGGGAAGAGATCATTTCAGAGACCAAAGAGAAAGAAATGCCACCGTGACAAAAAAAACACAAAACAGTAAAACAGAGCCTCTGAACAGTAAAAAGAAAAGAAGCAAGTGTGAAAAAGAAAGTACAGTAGTACTAATCTAAAGAAGTATAGAATGGGGCCAGGTGCAGTAGCACAGATCAGTATACTTAAAATGATTAAAATGGGCCAGGCACTGTGGCACAGACCTGTAATTCCAGCAACTTGGGAAACTGAGGCAGGTAGACTGCAATTTGAGGTTTCAACCCTTACAACTTACCCAAACCCTGTTTCAGGGTGTAACTCAGTGGTAGAGCGTCCCTGGGTTCAATCCTCAGTACAAAAAAAAAAAGCATAGGATGGGAATTGTCAACAAAATTTAATTTATTTTTGGTATTGAAAATACTTGCTGATAACATCACTGTGATGTGCTGGACTCTGTTCTGATTCTGTATACTTCTCATTCCATCTAATAAATAAATGCCTGCTATATTCAGAAAAAGATAGTTTCCCATATGTTTGGGCTTGTTAATGACCAACTGCAAACAGAGAAGTTAACAAAAATTAGCATTTCCATAAATAAAAGTTAAGATGAATGCAGTTTCTTTAGAAATATTAAAACTTCTCCCAAGTATAGCTAGATTGGTTGATAATAGCATATGATAATGTTTTTCTTTCTTTCTTTCTTTCTTTTTTTTTTTTACTTACTGATGGACACAATATCTTTATTTTTATTTGTTTATTTTTATGTGGTACTGAGGATCAAACCCAGGGCCTCATGCATGTGAGGCAAGTGCTCTACCACTGAGCTACAACCCCCAGACCCAATGTTTCTTGATTTTAGCTGGATAGATGTATATTTTTTTTATTTAAACGGTCCTTTAACTGTATTTGTTCATCAATTGTAAAGATATAATTTAAGTTTTATAGTGATAACTCTGAATGAAAATATTTTTATTAATGTTTTATTAAGTTGTGGTAAAATATACATAACAAAATTTGCAATTTTAAACATTTTTAAGTGTTCAATTCAGTGGTAGTAAGTACATTCACAAGATTGTGTAACCATCACCTCTGTTTCATCATCTAAAACAAACACTGTAACCCATTAAGCAATAACTGTCCTCTCCTCAGCCTCTGGCAACTACTATTTTCTGCTTTCTGTCTCTTATGAATTTAACTGTTACAGGTACCTCACACAAGTGAAATCGTATAGTAATCATCATTTTATATCTGACTTAATGTTGATTAGAATAATTTTTTAAAAATTCATCAGTGTTGTAGCAAGTATCAAAATTTTATTTTGTCTTATGGCTGAATATTATATATATATACCAAATTTGTTTTTTCATTTGTCTGTTGGTAGACACTTAGATTTTTCTACTTTTTGACTGTTGTGAATATGCTTCTTTGAACAGTGTTACAAGTATGTTTTGGTACCAGTTTCTAGTTCTTTTGAGTATATACTTGTGAGTACAATTGTTCAGTCATGTGGTAATTCTGTTTAAATTTCTGAAGAATCTCCAAACTGTTTTCCAAAGCAGCTGTGCCATTTCACATTCCCACCAGTGGTGTACTATGGTTCCACTTTCTTTTGTTTCTTTTCAGGACTGAGGATGTAACTCAGGGCCTTGTACTTGCTAGGCAAGGGCTCTGTTACTGAGCTGAATCGCCAACCCCAGTTCCACTTTCTTTATATCCTTTTCAATGCTTGTAATTTTCTGTTTTCAGAACTATAGTCATCCTAATGGGCATGAAGTAATATGTTATTGTGGGTTTGATATGCATGTTCCTAATGACTAATGATGAGCATCTTTTCACATGCTTGTTGGTTATCTTCTTTGGAGAATGTTTAGTTAAATCCTTTGGCCATTTAAAAATTCTAATTTCATTTTTGAATCATGATTTCTTAAGCTAGGGTATGTAGACACATTCTAATGGAAGGGGGTCAAGTCCTCTTGGTTTCAACTTCTCCTTTGGGAGCCCAGGCCTCTCTGTTTCAATAATACTGCCTCCTTCCTTTATCACTTTTTGCTGTCCCTAATCTCTTGACCACTTCACTGGTACCTGTTTAGCCCTTCACTCTTTCATTGGTGATATATCAAAATCTTTGCATTAAATTCTCTCTTACTGTATGATATGGTTTTTGTTATCCTGGGTAGACCTTGACACAGCATAAGCTCCCTCATTTTATTTTATTTATTCATTTATTTTGGTATCAGGGATTGAACCCAGGGGTGCTTAACCACTGAGCCACATCTCCAGCCATTTTTTATATTTTACTTAAGAGACAGGGTCTCACGGAGTTACTTAGGGCTTCACTAAATTGCTGAGGCTGGCTTTGAACTCACAATCCTCCTACCTTAATCTCCTGAGTGACAGGGATTACAGATGTTGCCACCATTCCCAGCTCCTTCATTTTGTATTGGGAAAAAACTTGGACCTTTTTTCTTCCAAATACATTTTTTTATTACTTGGTATTCAAGGGAAAACTGTACTGGAATTCCTGAAACTAAGAAGGAGGGTCACAACAAATTCAAGGCCAAACTCAGTAATTGTGCAAAAGTCTGTCTCAAAAACAAGATCCTGGGTTCAATCCCCAGAACCTCAAAAAAAAAAAAAAAAAAGAATTTCTCCGAATTCATGTAGCTAGTGGGCAGCCAGATGTTGTGAGACCATAATACCTTGATTCTCAGTCCCTTTCTCATTCTAACAAATTAAAACTTTCCAGCCAGACACATAGTGGCACATATCTGTAATCCCAGAAATTTGTGAGGCTGAGGCAGGAGGATTGTAAATTCTAGGTCAGCCATAGCAATTTAGCAAGGCTCTAAGCAATTTAGTGTAACCCTGTCTCAAAATAGGGATGTAGCTCAGTGGTAAAGTGCTCCTGGGTTGAATTCCCAGTACTGCTAGAAAAAAGAAAGAAAGAAAACTGAGGGGAAAAGTATGTTGAAGACAGTCCAGAATTAAAACTGTTCTCTACGGTTTTTTTAGGGTGTTAGTCTCTTTGTCAGATACAATGTAATGATTGTCTCCTATTGAGACAGTTCAGATCTAGGGTAACCCCAACTCAAGTTGAAGGGTTTCACATGGTAGTTTTTCTTTGAGTTACCTGTAGTAAGCAGAGCTTCTCTTAAAGTCCTTCATGAATACCTACAGTATGCTGAATATTAGGGATGATACAAGTTTCATCACATGACTTTTAAGGTCAATGACATTTACAGATTAATTAATAATTTGATAATGGAGAAAAATTCATAGTTAGAAGTAAAATACTGGACATGATTACTTTCCAGGGAAAATAGAAGAAGGCATTTGACATATGATCTGGATGATAAAGATGAATTGTAATTCAGAAAGAAACAAAGAGGAAGCAGGAAGTAAAAGTAAAGAGTTCGTGGAAAGAAAAAACTAACTCAGTACCCAACTGGGTACACTGATATGTTATCTCAAATTACCCTCCAGAAAACCTTATGAGCTTAGCCATTTTAGAGGTAAAGAAACTGATCCCAGAAAGTTAAGTAATATGAACAAATCACAAGTCATTATTTGTTGGAAACTTGAATTAAGGGGGTATATTAACTAGGTAGTTGCTTACAGTGAATGTGCAATTTAAATGGTACCAATTTCATTATATTATTTATAAGACTGCAGAGGAGTCCTATATACAGAGGGAAGATTATTCTTAGGGACTGTAGTATATATGTTGGGAAAATAAAGAATACATAAACTTTGGAGGTGCTAGTTACCAAACTTCAAGAGAGGATGTTTTCCCAAATGGTGCCTGTACATTTTCCTATAATACCCAGGAGTAGCACCCTCTTTTTTCATAAATGTTAGATAGTTGATGATTGGTGTTTGTGTGTGTGTGTGTGTGTGTGTATTTTGTTAGGGATCATACCAAGGGCCTCAAGTACACTCGACAGGCTCTCTACCACTAAATTATACCCCAGCCCAGGAGTCATAATTTAAAGCAGCCCAAACTAACAGTGTCACAGACTCCAACTGTCCTGAGTGATTAAATAAAGGTCAATTCTAAATCTTCAAATGCCTTGTATTCCCTCTATGACTGAAATGCAGATGACAAGCATACAGTTAGAGAGACAGACAGACAAGCATGTAAATGATGATTCTAAAGAGTGTACTGCTGCGGGGCTGGGATTGTGGCTCAGTGGCAGAGCAATTGCCTCACAAGTATGAGGCACTGAGTTCCATCCTCAGCACCACTTTAAAATAAAGGTATTGTGTCCATCTACAACTAAAAAAATAAATAAATAAAAGAGTATACTGCTGGTAGTCTTCTCATAAGAATAGTTTATAACAAGCTTAAGTATTACATTTTCTTCAACTCCTTATTATAATCACACATTTTTCAGGTAGCTTAAATCCTATAGGGAACAAATGGGATGAGAATAAACAGGGAAAAAAAGAAGAAGAAGAATAAACAGGTCTCCACTGTTAAAGAAATCTACTACTATATTTGTTATTCTCAGGAAATTACTACAATCAAGGAGAGATTCGTAAGAAAGAACTTTTGCAGAGCTGTGATGTTTTGGGGATTCCAACCTCCCGTGTTATGATTATTGATAACAGGTAATTTATCTTTTTTTATTTTAAACACAAGTGGAGCACAACTTTTCATTCCTCTGGTTGTGCACGATGCAGAGTGGAATGCAGATGTCCGTCTCATTCCATCATCTTTTCCACCCCCACTCCCTCTCCCTCCCCTCTGCCCAATCCAAAGTTTCTCCATTCTTCTCCCTCCCCCTTTATAAATCAGTATTCACTTATCAGAGAAAACATTTGGCCTTTGGTTTTTAGGGATTGGCTTACATTGCTTATCATATTCTCCAAATCCATTTACCCACAAATGCCATAATTTCATTCTTCTTTTAAGGCTATGTAAAATTCCAGTGTGTATGTGTGTGTGTATGTGTTTTGTTAGGGATCATACCAAGGGTCTCAAGTACACTCTACAGGCTCTCTACCACTAAATTATACCCCAGCCCAGGAGTCATAATTTAAAGCAGCCCAAACTAACAGTGTCACAGACCCCAACTGTCATGAGTGATAAAATAAAGGTCAATTCTAAATCTTCAAATGCCTTGTATTCCCTCTATGACTGAAATGCAGATGACAAGCATAGAGTACACACACACACACACACACACACACCACAGTTTCTTTATCCATTCGTCTACTGAAGGGCATCTAGGTTGGTTCTACAGTTTAGGTATTGTGAATTGAGCTTCTATAAACATTGATGTGGCTGCGTCACTGGAGTATGCTGATTTTAAGTCCTTTGAGTATATACCAAGGAGTGGGATAGCTGGGTCAAACTATGGTTCCATTCCACGTTTTCTAAGGAATTTCCATGCTGCTTTCCAGAGTGGTTGCACCAGTTTGCCATCCCACCAGCTTATGGTTGCTTGTATTTTCTTTTTGACTAGAGTGAAATAAGATCTTAGAGTACTTTTGATTTGCATTTCTCTGATTGCTAGAGATGTTGAACATTTTTTCACATACTTGTTGATTGATCATATTTCTTCTTCTGTAAAGTGTCTGCTTAGTTCCTTAGCCCATTTATTGATTGGGTTATTTGTTTTTTTGATGTTAAGTTTTTTGAGTTCTTTATATATCCTGGAGATTAGTGCTCTAACTGGATGTGTGTGTGATAAAGATTTTCTCCCATTCTATAGGCTCTCTCTTCACATTATTGATTGTTTGCTGAAAAGAAGCTTTTTAATTTGAATCTATCTCATTTATTGATTCTTGATTTTATTTCTTGTGATTTTTTAGGAGTCTTGTTAAGGAAGTCAGGTCCAAAGCTGACATAATGAAGATTTGGGCCTACATTTTCTTCAGTTAGGTGCAGGGTCTCTGGTTTAATTCCTAGGTCCTTGGTCCACTTTGAGTTGAATTTTGTGCAGAGTGAGAGATAGGGATTTAATTTCATTTTGCTGCATATGGATTTCCAGTTTTCCCTACACTATTTGTAAAGAGGCTATCTTTCCTCCAATGTATGTTTTTTCCCCTTTGTCTAGTATGAGATAACCGTATTTATGTGGGTTTGTCTGTGTGTCCTCTATTCTGTACCATTAGTCTACATATCTATTTTGGTGCCAGTACCATGCTCTTTTTGTCACTATAGCTCTGTAGTGTAATTTAAGGTCTGGTATTGTGATGCCTCCTGCTTCATTCTTCTTGCTAAGAATTTCTTCGGCTATTCTGGGTCTCTTACTTTTTCCAAATGAATTCCATGATTGCTTTTTCTATTTCTATAAGGAATGTCATAATGTCATTGGGATTTTAATTGGAATTGCATTAAATCTGTATAAAGTATAATACTTTTGCTTTTTTTTTTTTTTTTTTTAGTAGTGCTGGGGATTGAACCCAGGGACTTGTACATGTAAGGCAAGAACTCTACCAACTGAGCTATATCCCCTGCCCCTGTATAACGCTTTTGGTAGTATGGCCATTTTAATAATATTAATTCTGCCTATCTAAGAACAAGGGAGTACTTTCTATCTTTGGAGGTCTTCTTTAATTTCTTTAGTGTTCTGTAGTTTTCATTGTAGAGGTCTTTTACCTCTTTTATTAGGTTGATTCCTAAGTTTTTGTTTGTTTGTTTGTTTTGGTGTTGTTTGTTTGTGGCTATTGTAAATGGGGTAGTTTTCTAATTTTCTTTCACTGATGTACAGAAATGCCTTTGATTTATGGGTGTTGTTTTTATACATTGCTACTTTGCTGAATTAATTTATCAGTTCTAGAAGTTTTCTGGTGGAATTTTTTGGATCCTCTAAATATAGAATCATGTGGTTAGAAAATAGTTATAGTTTGAGTTCCTTTTTTCCTAATCATATTCCTTTAATTCCTTTTCATCTGCTTAATTGCTCTGGCTAGAGTTTCAAGTACTATGTTGAATAGAAGTGGTGAAAGAAAGCAGGCATCCCTGTCTTGTTCCAGTTTTTAGAGCAAATGCTTTCAATTTTTCTCCATTTAGAATGATGTTGGCCTTGGGCTTAGCATAGCTAGCTTTTACAATGTTGAGATATGTTCCTATTATCCCTATTTTTTTTTTAGTGTTTTGAACTGTATTTTGTCAAATGCTTTTTCTGCATCTATTGAGATGTTCATGTGGTTCTTATTTTTAATTTTGTTGATATGATGAATTATGTTTATTGATATCCATATGTTGAACCTACCAACCTTGCATCCCTGGGATGAACCCCACTTGATCGTGGTGACTATCTTTTTTAATATGCTTTTGGATGCAATTTGCCAGAATTTTATTGAGAATTTTTGTATCTATGTTCATCAGCGATATTGGGCTGAAATTTTCTTTCCTTGATGTGTCTTTGTCTGGTTTTGGTATCAGGGTGATAATAGCTTCATAGAAAGAGTTTGGAAGGGCTCTCTCCTTTTCTATTTCATGGAATAATTTAAGAAGTACTGGTATTAGTTCTTCTTTGAAGGTCTTGTAGAACTCAGCTGAGAATCCATCTGGTCCTGGGCTTTTCTTGGTTGGTAGGCTTTTTTTTTTTTTTAATTTTTTATTGTTGGTTGTTCAAAACATTACATAGTTCTTGACATATCATATTTCACACTTTGATTCAAGTGGGTTATGAACTCCCATTTTTACCCCGTATAGGTTGGTAGGCTTTTGATGGTGTCTTCTATTTCCTTTCTTGAAATTGAACTGTTTAAATTGTATATGTTGTCTTGATTCAGTTTGGTTAGATCATATGACTCTAGAAATTTATGTCTTTGAGATTTTCCATTTTGTTGGGAGTATAATTTTCAAATAATTTCTAATTATCTTCTGTATTTCAATAGTGTCATTGTGATATTGTAATTTATCTTTTAATAATGTAAAAATTAGCAATAAATATGTGGTTGTACATAAAAAAAACAAAAAAATAGTATGGGTAGATAAAAACATCTTATTGACAATTCTACTTAAAACTATTTCACATTTATTTTTAAATGACATATGGAAATGACTTTCTTCAACATGTGTTCAGATGTTTTTGTCTTGATATAGATATTTCTCTATATATCTATGTCTTCAAAATTTTTTATTATAATTTCATAACCACACAAAAGTATAAAGAACAGTACCATGAACTCCCATATGCCTATACTACCTAATCCCAGTAATATCCCACTAATTTGCTTTACTTGCTTCAACTATCCCCACTTAACATCTTGTGTGTACATGAAGTATGTTGGGTTTTTTTTGTGGGGGGTGGTACCAGGAATTGAACTCAGGAGCACTCAACCACTGAGCCACATCCCCAGCCCTGTTTTATATTTTATTTAGAGACAGGGTCTCACTGAATTGCTTAGTGCCTCACCATTGCTGAGACTGGCTTTGAACTCACCATCCTCCTGTTTCAGCCTCCCGATTATAGGCATGCACCACCGCACCAGCTATGAAGTTTTGTTTTTTTTTTTAAGAGAGAGAGAGAGAGGGAGAGAGAAAGAATTTTTTTAGTATTTATTCTTTAGATTTTGGCGGACACAACATCTTTGTTTGTATGTGGTGCTGAGGATCGAACCCAGGCCACACGCATGCCAGGCGAGCGCGCTACCACTTGAGCCACATCCCCAGCCCCAACATACATACATATATATATATATATATATATATATATATATATATATTTTAGTTGTAGTTGAACACAATACCTTTATTTTATTTATTTATTTTATGTGGTGCTGAGAATCAAACCTAGTGCCTTACACGTGCTAGGCGAGCGCTCTACTGCTGAGCCACAACCCCAGCTCAGCTATGAAGTGTTTTAAAGAAAATCCCAGACATTAGGCTATTTCACCCTTACATACCTAGGCATGCAAATCTAAAGAACATGAAAATTTGTCTATGGCTATAATGCCATTATCATCACATCTAACAAAATAAACAACTAATTCTTTGGTATCCTCCAACACCAAGCCCATATTGAAATTTTTCCAGGTAACTCAAAAACATTTTTACAGTTGGTTTATTTAAATCAGAATCTAAACAAGGTATATACATTATAGTATATTAATATTCTGCATTTAATTTTCCTTTCCTCTATGTTATTGATTTGTTGAAGAAAATGAGTTTGTTTTCATATAGAATATCCTATATTCTGGATTTGTCTGTTTCTTCCTAGTATAGTTATTCCTCTATCTTCTATATTTCTTATGCACTGGAAATTAACTATAAAAGCCCGATTAGATTTGGGGAACAAGATTACTTCATAGGCTGTTCTGTGTACTCATATTACATTGTATCAAGAGATACAGTAGCTGTTTCCTTCATTTTAAAGAAACCCATCAACTCTTTATGTAATGTTCTTATGATTATAACCTGAATCATTAATTAGAAGTGATAAAATAGTGGGTTTTTTTTTTAATCTTTATTTATTTATTTATGTGGTGCTGAGGATTGAATCTCATGTGTGCGAGGCAATTGTCTCCCATGTTATATATGTACTAGCTGTAATTCTTTTTTGCAGCACTTTCGTAATTAACTTGGGACTATTTAACTACCTGCTATATAATTTGAACCAATAAGGCAATATATTTATCTTTCCCTCTAATTG